AACAGTTTCAAGTTTTTTAAAAGAAGTTGTATTGATCCTATATACTGTACGCCATTCTTGCGCAAACTACTAAATTAATTAAGAATTAAAATAACTATTAGCTGTGTACCAAGTTCTAGGATCCAACCTAAATAAATATACCAGCTAACACTATTTGAAGCAGACGAATACCTAATTAGATAAATAAATCAGAATAAAGCAAAAATTATATCAAAGAGTTGTTGAGAGTTTTTCCTAACAAATATATACACTAGAATAATGCATAAAATACAATGATATCATATATTTTAATTAGATAAATTAAAGCTAAAGAATGTCAACAACTTGCATATTGGATTCTACCATGGTATTGAAAAGCACATGCAATTGTTGCCCAATTTGTCACGTGATTACTCGCTTGGTGCCAGTCAGTCGCGAATTTCCCCCATTTGAAATTACAAACAGACACTTCAATTTTATTTATTTATATAGATAAAAAAAAAATAGTGATTGCACTGATCTAAGCAATAAATTAGAAGCGAGCATTCTGGCGCCCACATAGACAAAACAAAGAGGAAAATTTTGCTTCGCGGGAATATTCGCAAAATCTGGCAACGTTTTTTCCGGATTCTCCACATTTCCGGCTTTAAAAAAATTATGGCGTGATTAATTGAAATAAAAACCATCCTATGTTTTAAGTTGAACGAAATGACACACAGTATGCAAAATTATATTATGATCGGTTGAGTAGTTACGGAGTCCATTGCGGACAAACACTGTGACACGTATATTTTATATATAAAGATTACAGTTAATATAAATATGTATATACATATGACAGAATCACAATATTAAGTGGCAAAACACCTTTTAAATTAACATTAAAAACTTTTTAGCCACATTAAATTTTGTAATTACATTTTTTAATAAAAGTTGAATATAATATAGGTAAGAATTTATCTTAAAACCAGGTGTAAAAGGAATGCTGGCGCGTCTAACTAGCATATGATTATTCAGGTTAAGTTAAATGTTCATCACAAATTTCACAAAACCTGTTTTATCCAATGGTGCTGCCATCTAGATGAATAACATGAACTGAAATATATCTCTTAAACTATAATTTAATTTAATTAATGAATTAATACTTAAAAAAACTGTATTAACATCAAGTGCCATCCACTACAAGTTTTAAAAATGTGTTTTTGAACTTGAGTGGATGAATAAAAAGTATTTTATTAATGCTTGAAAATTTGAGAGAGAGAGAGAGAGAGAACAAGATATAAATATATATAGTGTGTGTGTGTGAATAATAGTAGGAATTGAAAAATAATAGTCGTTCTGTAGAACGTTTGATTATCCTATTTCTCTCCGACTGAGTGAGTGAATATTAACGTCCCACTGTTCAGCTACACGAGGGCTTTTGGGGACGGTCAGCGTAATTTTGAACCATGGTCAAGTGACGCGGACGACACCTGAGCTGGCACCCCTCTCCTAACTACCACACCACACCAAAGGGAGGACGTTTAAGCTCTCGACAGATTTTACGTGCATCGCTCCCTACACGGCGGGTCTTCGGTGGTACTGGGATCAAACTCATGACACGCTAGCCACGATCTGATCCCTAGACCACTTGGCTACCGCGGCCACATTTCTCTCCGACACAAAGATCCTCTAACTACAATTAGATAACGAGGTTGATACTTGAGTAAGCACCCTCTTCTCACACCAAAACCATGAAAGCATGTGGGCTGAATTCTGATAGATTCAATGTGCTTCTCAGAAATTGGGTCTTTTAATGGACCAGCACACGAAGCACAGCTCCAACGAATCATAGCCGGCCATGAAACCTCCTGGCTATTTCATCTTCTACAGTTGTAATCAAGACATATAAAATTATGCATTATTTTTTATTTTGTTTCAGTAAAAGCTTAATTTTTCAGGTTCACATTCCATCTGTTAAGGCCGTGGAAATTTGGGTGATCACTGTTCGTTAACTCCAGTAGCGTAAACGGAGAATGCTAGGGCCCCTCTGTAAAGTCAGGTTTTGCACCCCAAGCCATATTTTACAAAGTGGCGTCAGTGAGACTTTGGGCCCCTTTGAATCCTGCCCCCCCCCACGGTGCAGGATGTACGTTACGCCACTGGTGAGCTCCTGGACAATGATGTTTCTGTCGAGTCGTGAAGTCACTGAAGATCGTCATGTAGTAGGGCTAATGCACTAAAAATCGGTCGAGGCTCACAATCCTAACGGAGTTGTGTTGTTAAGAAAGTAGCGTGCCAGGTCAGGGTCATCCTCATCACGTGACCATGGTTCAAGATTACGAGGTCCGTCGCCAGAAATCTTCATGATGTTTTTGTGTTCAGTGATCATGAACAATCAATCGTGAACACAAATTCTAGGAATGTCCATCCCATTTCCAAATTTAATACCATATTTAACCCAGCACTTAGTGCGAAGGGTATGTCAATGCCACTGCCTAACTTTTTTCAAGACTCCATCTAAACTTTTATTGGAAAATGAATAGTTTCACATGTAGCTGACTTTAAAGTCATATCCTTTGAGGGGCTTTAGCTTGTAGGCGAATTCTAAAGGTATAGTTTTGGGATACCGCCTCTTTGGGTATGCCATACCCTGCGCGTGAATCGCTGTTACAGTTCTAAATGCATGAGCACGCTTCAAAATCTTTCTTATACAATGGCGCATTATTGTAGTTATGATGAAGAAATGTGATATTTAAATAACTTAATAGATACAGAGTATTTAATAGATATAGTGCCACAATATTTTCGGATGAAAAATGTCTCTTTGCGGGATTTATAAGGAAGAATCGAATGATAAAGAGTATAATAAAGCAAGCATGATTCCTCTACTGAAATCTATTTAGATAACTTTACTGAGGGAGTAATTAGCGTCCTTGATAAAATGACCACTTCATATTCAATGGCTAGAAAATCTAATCATTAGCCTATGACAATATTTTTATGCCTTTGAACGTTGCAGCAATAAGCGCTAAAATTATTTTTTTAAGTAGTTGGAAACCATCTACTAAACATCGAACCAGATCCTGATTTCTGAAATGTTTTGTATTTCGATTAAGAAAAGAATGTAAAAGCCAGCAAGCAATGCTTCTACGAAATTTTTTAAAAAAATTAACATCCAATGAAAACATCGCACTTATTCCCGACGAAAACTAAAGGAGCCTATAAATAATGTACTGAATGCCCTAATAAAAAGAACAGAAAAACTAAATTTACGTATGAAAAATGTAATAAACATATAGTATTTCCTAATTTTCTTCCTTTTTCACTTTTGCATGCAAATTTTACGGTAAAAACAGAATGTAAACACCTCTTGGGTATGAGATACCCTTCGCGTGAAGTTAAGGTCATTTTTTTCGCGCGTAAAGTGCCGGGTTAAAGAAATTGTGAATAGATTAGATGCAGTGGCGTTCACAAAGATGGGGTTGGGATGTTCAAACCCCTCCCATACACCAATATATTTTCAACTTTTAGTATGAAGATTACCTCTTGATGTTTCCGTCAACGTTTCTTTTAAAATATATAACCCCTCACATGAAAGTAGTCTGTGTTCGCCACTGACTAAATGTCAACAGATCACATTTGAATAGTTCCCGTTTTTCGATAGCTAACAGTAGAATTTGGATTGCGGATGCAATCATGAAAGGATGTATGAATTCATAATTTGTATTTCCTGTCATGCTTGTGTATACAATGAGCTGAAATACCTAGCCTAATTATTAGAAGCTGAGTGCAATACAAGTGACTCAACATTGCCGTATAACCGCAGAAAAAAAGGTTTGCAGACGCAACAGGTTTGTTATAATTAAGAGGTAAAAGTTATCCAATTTATACAATTATGTACTCTGAATATCTTTCAGTGTTTGGGTTCTAATTTTACCGTGAAACTACAGCAAAAAAACCAACTTAAATGAACAAAAACAAATTCTAAGAACTCCTGAATAAATTAAATATCGACGTCCCCCATCAAAATGTAACAAACCTACAGCTGGTATCTTAAAAACTATCGGCACGCAACAAAAAAATAGCAAAATTCAACGGAATGAAACAGCAGAAGGCAAAAAAAGAACACTTACTACAGTAAGATGAGTTCCTGTCTGCATGTTTAGTTCCATGTTCCACAACTTAGCACCAAACGACTTTCCGATCCTCGGGATGTGAAGGAACTCGACAACACACGATAGCTAACACATGCTCTTATAAAAAAGCGGGGAAGAGATAACATAGTCCACGGCCTTGTCCTCTCCACCCTCCCTCCCACTCTGGAGAGATACAAGCTTCGCGACAGAAAATCGGAATCTCTTTCATCTCCGACGCCTGAGTATCAGTTCAGACGATTACTTTGAGTGAACTGTGACCCGTGCTGCAAGTCAGATGTGGAAAAATCGTCTGCCATCTCCGTTTTCAGGTAAATAAGTGCTTTTTTTAAGTCTGACATCGTACATAATTAAACGCCTTTTTTGCAGTTTTTTATCCTAAAAAATTAACGATAATGCCATAAAATTTGCTTGCATGATAAGTAGAATCATGACTGAGGTACTGAATAATTATTAGGATTTCTGGATTTCCCGGGAACCTGCCATTGTCGGAAATGAAGCAAAATCTCGAAAAATCTAAAAGCACACACGAGTTATTTTTAATTCATATCAATAATTATATTAATTAACGATACACATAAATTCCAAATTTATACTCATTTTTATTGCTAAAAATATACAAATAAAATATGTTAATTATTCATTCTCAATTTCTACTATTAGTTCACTCTCTCCCTATATATGTATATCTTGTTCAAATTTTCAGTCATTTCTATTCATCAACATTCAAGTTCAAATACATTTTTTAAACTTATAGTGAATGACACTTGATGTTAATACAGTTTTTTCAAATATTAATTCATTAATTAAATTAAAAATGAATAAATAGTCGCAAACAAAAATAATAATTCAACAGCATGTATAGAAAGAAAAATCGTTTGTTGTGCCCCTGTAGCGCAATGGATAGCGCATTGGACTCCTAATTCAAAGATCATGGGTTCTAATCCCACCTGGGATGACCTAATTTCTGAGAATGGGATTTATTTTTTACTGTACTATTTTAGTAGAATAATTAAATTTAAATAATTAATAAACACTAACAAACAAACAAAATAGTCCAAGACCATATATAGAAAGAAAAATGGAAAATTGCAAGGAAAATCGCTTTCTATTTTTTCAATTAATAGTGTGATTATGTCATATGTATATACATATTTATGTTAGTTGTAATTATTTAATGAACTAAAATAAAATTTTTGTTGACCTAAGTAGGAATTGACTTAAATTTTTTTTTATATATATTACTTGTTTTTAAAATATAGACTTTAAGAATACCTAAGCAATCTATGTTTTGTCGCGCAGCCTAGTTCTTAGCTTTGTTATAAGCAACCCGAAAGCAGAAAATGCTCTCTCAGATTCGGCTGATGTTGGAAAATTTCTTTTTTTGAAAGCATCTCCTAGTTTTATAATATTTGATAAAAGATTTTCTGTTGAGTCTGATAACTGCATTTCTTGCTTCACTGTCTTGTCGAAGCTAGAACTTTTTCTAGCTGAAAAAATGGGACCTTTGTCTTTGAGAGGATTGCTTTCTCTAATTTTTCGTCCAGTGTTAAAGATTTCATTATCAAAGTTGCCATGCCCTCTTCTGAATGCGAAGATTTGGAATAATTCATCTTCCTCCCAAAAAGACCTCGTTATCATTATTTTAGCTTGTCTAACCAAATAATTTTTATTTGGTAAACGTGAAATATCAACAACTGCAGTTGCTTAATACTTTCTCCCAAAATTTAGATATTGCATATTAATCAAACTAAACTAACAGCGTCTCACTAATTTTTTGGACCAGAGATCATTTTATACCTTTATCAAATTCCGATTTGATTCATTCAATTCTCCAAAAAAAAAACAATTAAAGTAAATACTCCTTCGGTATTTAGCTAAGTCGCGTTTCGACTGCATAGTGTTCTGAGAGAATTTTTACTAGCATGAAGCCTGGTACAAATGTAGTCAGAATTTTAGATTCTACATTAGCCCTAATTCGTTCTTTAATATCAATTAATGATTTTAAAATTAATTGTTGTATCTCTAAAAATGTTTCAAGCATTGATTATTTCAGCAACGTGTCGTTCCAGGGAACTAAGTATAATTCCCGGGAATACAAGAATTTTGAAAATCTTACGATTCCTTAGGAGTGAATATTCAGGTTGCATTGTTCAGCTACTCGAGGTCTTTTGGCGACGGACCTCGTAATTTTGAACTATGATCAAATGACGAGGACGACACGTGAGCTGGCACCCCCTTTCCTAACTACCACATCAACGGCAGGACGTTTGAGCTCTCGACAGATTTAACGCGCATCGCTCCCCTACACGATGGATCTTCAGCGGTACCAGGCTCGAACTCATGACACGCCAGCCACGAGTCCATTACCTTGACCACTAAGCTATTGTGGCCACTCGATTCCTTGGGAAGCCGGGGAAGAAACCCTATAATAACGATGTACGTTTACTTTAACTGAAAACATAATTTTCCATGTTTATCATGCTCAGCTAAGCAATTACATTTCACCAAAGGGAAAGTATTACTCATCGCAGCTCTCACATTTATTCAGATCAAAAAGCAACAAAAAAAACTGGTATCAATGAACAAGAAATTGATTTACAGCAAAATTAAGGTATTTTGTACGCCTTTGGAGTAAAATTTTTTGAGATTATTTGAAGTTTTTCTTCAAATGCGCATTTGAGGCTTTAAAATTTTTTTTAAAAAAATCCAAAAAAGTTTGTTAAATTACAATTTTTCTGTCCAGAGAGAAGTTTATACAAAAATATGTAAAAATTGGAACTTTTCGACAGAGTGAAATAAGGAAACAAATATATCAACATTTTCTGAATTGAATAATGAAAATAATTTCTCTAGAGAATGCGTACTTTCTTTTGGTGATGCTTTCCTGTAATATCATTGAAATTTCCGCCTCATTAAAATGAGTTTTTTTATTCTAATTTAAAAATTCCAGCACACATTTTAAACCATGTGAGTAAAATTTCCAGCTAATTTATACATAAAATTTCAAGATTTTAAGTTGCGCATTAGTGAAGTGTGAAAAGGGGGAGTTCAGGAACCAGCGAAATGAAACAGTATACTTATGAATGAGTAGAAATTTCCCAAAATAATGTGTGGCCGCGATAACCTAGCGGTCATGGACTCGAGGCCGGCGTGTCATGTGTTCGACCCTAGTGCCATTGAAGACACGCTGCGTAGAGGTAAACTACTCAACTCAGTGGTACCAGCCCATGAGTTACAAGGCCTACTGTGCCCATCTCAGTATACGTAACCATTGGGCGCTGAGGTGCATGAGCAGATGTCCCTATCAGGAGGTCAGGGTAAATGTCCCTCCGTTGGCGTGGTGTGGAAATTCGGAGAAGAGGTAGTCCTCGTCAATTTGGCCATGGTTCAAAATTGCAAAGTTCGATGGCTTCTGCATATCCAGGAACTCATCAAGGGTTTTTTCGACCTGCAAGGATGTGACCGAGTTATCCAGACTACCAGTTTATCGAGTGCCAAGTTTTCGGGACTATACTGCATAATGATAATAATTCACCAAGTTGACGTTACATGAAAGTGTGTACTAAAATAAGATCCAGCCCCAACTCGGCTTCTAAATAAAATAAGTCAGTGATTCAAACAGCAAGGTTTAAGATGGAGCATTCGTATCAGGCTAAAAGTAAGCTATCGATATTTTGAACCAAAATGGCATTTTGAAGATGAATTCATGCCATAAATATACATTTAAAAGTGAAATATTCTTATCTCACCAATTTAAGTTTTATGTGTGTCATGGTCGCTAGTAGCATAAAAAGTCCTTGTCCTAGTGCCATTAAAGACATGTACAGAGACGACTGATACACGTTAAATCAATCGAGGATCACAATCCTCACATTGAAGTGGTGTGGAAGTTTGGAGTGGCAGCTCAGATGTCCTCATGTGACCGTTGTAGTTATTGGTTAAAAAGCCACGAACTTGTAGCAAGCGTGTCACGCATGTATGCATAAACAACCCTGGGTAATGAACATGTGCTTTCTGGAAGAAGTAAGATCGGTAGACCAATATAAAATAAAGCTAAATAAAGCAACGATGAGCAGAACAAACTTATAAAAAAAAGTGGGTTTTTTTCCTAAAACCAACAAAAGCAAAAAAAAATTCGAAAATATCAAGTTGTCCTTTTCCCCCCCTCTGAATTGAAGAGAGAAAATTAATAGTAATATAGATTACTTGGATATAGATTACTACAAATTAAAAAGCCACATTAAGCAAGTATTGATTGTATAATAGTTATTTAGAATTAAATGTTTCAAGTTACTCATTTTTATCTTATACCTGTTGTTGTTTCTGATGCCTCGGGATCAACAATGTCAGATCGAGGCCCACGAAATTCGTCGTGCAAAGGGACTAGTTTTACGCCTATCGTTAGCCGCAGCTTAGAGCACCATAAGATGACAGTATGATTTTGCTCGGTTCAATCCCAATTTTAAGGGAGAACACCCTGGGAAGTGGTCAGAAACCTTCTATTTCTCTTTCTCTTCCGCCAACCACTCAAGTGGACTAACATTTAGAATGTTCCCATGCTACGCAGGTGCTATACATTTACAAATATCCATGTTTTCTACAGGATTCGAGCCTCAGGCCTTACGACACAGCTGTTAGCGTCACTAACCACTATACAGAATGGGTGGTTATTTTATACCTAACCTAAACGATTGAACTTGCAAAAAATTTATTAAAAACAAAACTTAAGTTTGTATTCTCTTGTCTTATTTATTATATTATGATTTCACTATATAAATATACTTATAAAGACTTGAAAAAAAATGTACTAATAGCGTAAAAATCGTATAAGTGTGTAAGTAACATTTTTACACCTTTTCATGTTTTTTGTTCGTTTTAAAAGTTGAAAGTGGCTCGCTAAGAGTTTTTTTTTACAAAATCAGTTAAAGCCGCTTTTCCCAAAAAGGTTGGCCCCACACACATGTCTGATTTATATATATATATATATATATATCTTTAAAATCCAAGACATTCCTATTCCTTTTAGACGCGAAATATTTTTATCATTAAATATTACATTTTTCCGGTTATTAACACTGTATTGACCCCAATGACAATGGGAAAAATTAAAGAAAAATATTTTCTATCCCCCCCCCCTGGAATGTGGAATGTTTCAGCTCCGGGCTGGGTCTTAAAAGGATATCATAAAAATATATCTGCTGGATATTTAGAGTGAATCCTCCCCCCCCCCCAAACGTATAATATATTCCTTGACCTTTTTGAGAATTCTTTCAAAGTTTTCAAGGTAATATAGCAAAAAGAAATAAAATTAATTAATTGTAGTTTTAATGAAATGAAATAAACACAGTAAAATGAATAGTATAACAAAAAACTTACAATCCAAAGCATCCTTAATTCTTATGAAACTTGGAGCTGAAAAGGTTAAGAATGTGAAATTTCCATTCATCTGAATTAAAGTTGATAAGAATACTTACTAGCTACACAAGAGTCACTGGCAAGAAATTCCTTGTAGTTTAATTACCAGTATTGAGTTTATAGTGAACTCTCTCCCTGCATATTTCTCGTAACTTAGCACAAAGCGCTACCTGAACACCCAACGGAAGTTTAGCAACAGGTGAGAAAAACGGAACGTATAAGATCTGGAAGGCAGATAAAACCTCAACGTGTGTGTGTGTATAAAACCTCATCAAATTTTTCTGTTTGTTGCGAATAAAATTTGTTGTGTTTTAAGGAAGGGTTTTCTTACATCACTATCTACACTCCAATCATCAACAGTACTTCTACAGCTTCCGCATTTCGCCATGGGACTACTTCGAAAAAAATTCTGAACATTTGCGTCTGTAATCGTATTTTTTTAGTTGTTTCATTTTGTAGATGAATTTTACAATGTTGTATCGATTCTACTTCATCCATCGATCACACGTTCGTTTCTCGTATAATTTGTTCATGAAAATA